GTTGCGGGTTCTGGGAACAGCTGCAATTCCAGCACCCACAATAGTGTGAACCTAGGATTTGTCTTTTATTTCCACTTTAAATGCCTGTGGTGCATGCTAGATGTGTTTCATCCATGTATGTATGGTGTTGTGTTTCATCCATGTATGTATGGTGTTGTGTTTCATCCATGTATGTATGGTGTTGTGTTTCATCCATGTATGTATGGTGTTGTGCAATATCAAGAATATCATGATGTATTATGACCAAGAATGACACATTGTTGTTTAGTTTGTTGGCTGCATCACTATCTTGTCTCTTTTAGACTAAGCTGTACAGTGTCAACCCTCCAGACTTGCACTCCTTAGGAAGCAGGTCAAGAATCCTGCGAAACGCGTTGAGAAATATTCATCTGATTTGACAAACTAACAAAGGAACAGAGTCCCAAAATGCTCAGACTATTTGTGAACTAACACGGTAATATTTTTTAGTAGAGAGGTACTGACTGTGCAGACATGCATGATGTAGTTGTAAGATCTTTGCCTTTTGCTTTTTAACTTTGGATTACTAAAATGTAAGAGGGGTGTGCTTTCAGCCACGTTTTAAACCTTTTGTACATTGTGATCTCTTTGGGGCACTTCAAAAGTCCACTTTAACATAAACAGAGATTTTCTATAACCATGGGATGTGGTGCCTCCACTCTAAATACCCATGAGATCCCCAGGACCATTTTGCTTAAACCCTAGAACAAGCCTGATGCCTGGTTACTCATATTGAAGGTTCAGTGTGTTGTTGGGTACAGCAATAGCGTGGGACAGCAGTAGGAAGGCAGGAGGGCACTTTAAAAATCAAACAGCTTCTAACGGGGTCTCTGCCACACTTTCATTAAGTAAAGAATGGTGATATGCTGGTGGGAGGCGGGGTTTATAAAATATGAACTTGTTGAATTTTGCTATGTAGTAATGAGACCTCCATCCATAGCTCAGTGATAGATGGTAGCATAAAGCGAACTTGGGAACTAGGATTTAATAGTTCTATATCCCCTATTAAAAGACACCGGAAAGCAGCTGCATCTACGTTTTCTAGTCAGCAAAGTTTGTGTGTCTGGAAAGCTCATTAGCCAAGCACATTGTGTTTTTATATAATGTACTCATACTGTAAAGCTAAAAATGGTCAGACTGAGGGTTCATCTAATGCCAATGACCAGCTTTAGTTTCTTTCAATTCTCTAGAAGGCAGCTTTACAGATTTGTATCAATATAAGAAGCAGGAAGATGGATATTGGGAATGTTTTCGGGCATATTTAATCTTGCATTTTAATTGGACTATTGTGACCGGTTCTGATTATGTAAGAGACTTGTGCAGTCTACAATTTTTGAAAATTTTTCCTAAAGATTCAAGCAACATAGGGCCTGTTCACGCCAGGATGCAGTGTGGGAAACCAGAGTTCCATACACATTTCTCACACCATGTTCAAAATGCATTACATTTGCGATCTGCAGCTGGTGTCAATGCACTGCTAATGACACCCCAAACGCAGGTAGCAAATGCAGTATGTTTGCCTGCACTTGATTGCATGGTACAGAAGTACCATACAGTCTGGTTGAAGTGCATTTTTTTTTAAGTAGTGCATGCATTACTTTTTGTGCAGTGCAGTTTCAAGCCATTTAAATTAATGGGCTGAAAAGGCACTGCACTCAACTCGGACAGAAACGTGAGCATAATCCTGTGTGATTACTGGTGAGAACCAGCCCTAAAAGAGACCCTGTTGCTTGACCAATCATTTCAGAAAAAACATTCCCTTAGTGCCCCTTCACATATAAGTATTGGATGCGGTTTGAACCAGATCCAATCTCCCTGACATGTGAAATAACATTTCTTCCTATGGTGCCTGTTCACATATGTCCGGAGCACTGGCGGTGCGGATTCAGTGCTGTTTTAAAAAGAGTCATGTCCAATTTCTGAGCAGTGCGGTCCAGTTCAGATGAGGATTACAGGCTATTGACTTCTTTGGGAACCGTCTCTAAACCGCATATGTGTGAACAGGGTAAGATTCTGAGCTAATCCTGTCCTGAACCTGATGTAAACCTGACATGAACCTGCGAACAACTACTGTACCAATTAGCTGGGAAACCTGAGCTTCAATCCGCACCGCACGTGTGAATCAGCTCTTAAGATGATATGTACATTTAAGGTATGTTATGCTTGTTATTTACTTGTAAAATCCTCCCTTGTGTAGAGATCAGTCCTGGATGTGATACCAACACTCTACAGTATTCTTCTTCTTTGTTCCTTCCACTCCAGTACAGCTCTGATCCTTCCCCCAATACAGTTTCTCTCACCACACCCCCCAGTAAAGTTCTGCCCCCTCAGTATAGCTCTCCTAGTCCAAAAAAACACACTTACAAAAGGGATTACAGGCACATGGTGTGGCAGTCCATGGATGTATTGATAAGTTCCAAGTGGGCAGGGGTAAGGGCAGTCCAGTAGGTACTATGGGCAAGCTGCAAAGGAGCGAAGCATAACTCTGCATAAGAGAAACAAAGAAACACAGCACCTCAAAGTGTGTACTGCGAAGATATTTAATAGGAAGATAAGTAGTAATTCACATCTTAGAATTTAAAAGGATGAGATGTCTATAGCCAGATGTTGTGTGACTGATCCAGAGAGGAGATCAATTAGGTCCGCCAGCAGATGGTGCTGTGCATGTGTAACCTGGATGGTAAAGTCTGGTGGAATCTCCAAGGTGTCCGCCAGCAGATGGTGCTGTGCATGTGCAGCATGGATGGTGAAGCCTGGCAGAGTCTCCAAGATATCTGGGATCGGCCTGCCTGATGGACGAGTGCGCCAGACTCTGCTCGTCCCATGCATGCTCAGAAACGTGTCGCACTTTGATGATGTCAGACTCCAAACGTGCCGATCCCAGAGATCTTGGAGACTCTGCCAGGCTTCACCATCCATGCTGCACATGCACAGAACCATCTGTTGGCGGACACCTTGGAGATTCCACCAAGCTTTACCATCCAGGTTGCACACGCACAGCACTATCTGCTGGTGGACCTAATCGATCTCCTCTCTGGATCAGTCACACAACATCTGGCTATAGGCGTCTCATCCTTTTATCAATGAGCCTGCTTTTAAATTCTAAAATGTGAGTTACTACTTATCTTCCTATTAAATATCTTCACAGTACACACTTAGAGGCGCTGTGTTTCTTTATTTCCATAAAACACGCTTACCAGACTAAGGAGGTTCAGAGTAAGGGAAGTCCTCCCTTAGCTGTGTTATGTGATTGGAGCTAAAGTATAGAAACCTTCCTCACCCTGAACTGACAGACTGCAGGAATCTTCTGTTTTGGTGCCACTATCAGCACTAGCTGCTGTTCTGTAGATACTCTGAGGGTTGGGGGGTTCAGACCCTCCTATTCCTCCCATTATCTACACCCCTTCTGTGCTAGGAAGTTAACTCCCTATGGCATAGCCATATTTTCTAGCAAGTTGAAGGGCACATTACAAGACAATAAAAATCATTAATGGAAAGGAAAAACACTGCAAGTAATCAAATAAAATTCTTGATTATTGCGTGTTTATGAGCAATTTTATTGGTGACAGGGTCTCTTTAAGGCACCATAAAATGCTTTTAAGGCATACAGAATTGGTCCCATTATTATAATATGTCATTTTAGCATGCCTCATCTGCTATTAAACGGTAGCCCACCACTCGTGTTGCAGCTTGAAGAATCAGGAGTCAACCTACATTGTCTTAGAAACCAAACAATTCCAGCCTTGATCTTCCTACCTGTATCAGAAGCATGAGACAAAGAATGTGATTTGTTACAATGAGCTCTTCTCACGTCTTTCAGACACTTACATACAGTGCGCACATCTTAACAATGTAAATGCTTCCAAGTATGTATTAAAAAGAATAACGAGACTAGACACATACAGCAGTAACAGAAAGGACTTTAATTCCCCACTGCACCCACCAGCTTCTCTCTCTCTCCTCCATGCTATATGTACTGGGGAGAGGGAGGATGACACACGTTTTTTAATGTAAAAACCTGTGTGTAGACAATATTCCGGATGATCTCTCACTTCCTGCTCAAGTCCCAGAAAGGCTCCTGACTCGAGTGACTCAGAAAGGATCCAGACCAGCTAGATGTACAGATTGAATAAGTGGTACCAGGACCCCTGTGATCACGGCAGATAAATTTTGCTTACGCTTTCTGTTTCCTCCGTGCAGGAATGCTTTGTACAGTAGGTTTAGGTATCGTGTCGTTTGTGCATATGTCCTGTTTCCCAGATGAACCAGCATGTCCACCCCTCAAGTTACACCAAGGTTCACAGAGGGTATCAGAAAGCCTGGGTGCTGGTCTCTCACTTGTTTTAAGGCACTGCTTCAGGGGCTCAGTAAATTTCTACTATAACCCAAGCAGAACAACAGCCCTCTAGATCCACAAGCCAGAGACGGGGAGGGCCAAACGGTGGATCCATTTTTATAGGGGCAAGGCGGAGGGTCTTGTCATGAATTTCTTATATGCTTTAAGAACCTGGTAACCATGGACACCAAGAACATGAATTGATTGGGTGTTTGTCTCATTATGCAGGTGAGAGCAGCACTGCTGTGCGGGATCTGTAGAAACACATAGCTTTTAAAACCTTTTCGAGAAAGCAGTGCCAACGGCCATTCCGATGCAAAAGCATTACATAACGATGCAGAATAAATCTGTACACTTCTGGGAATCGATAAGGACCCTCTCAGGGTAAATCACACAATATGAATGCTAAATGTTTTCAGGGTATCAGAAAACCCAACATCAAACATGGCAAAAAATTTGTTAAAAATTAAAAACATTTTTTTTTACCTTTTTTAGGAAGTGTACTGAAACATTTGGCATAGTTATGCAATGCTTCAGTCGCATATCAGAATTGGATCAGCCCCAAACATTAACGATGAGACCATGAGGTTTCAAAGGAAGTGCCCTTCCATGTAACCTAACCCCTCAGGTAATGCATTCCCTGAAATCACACGGTGCTCTCTAGCATCCATTCTGTGCTGCTAAACGTGACTCTCCTATGTCCCAGGGCAGCATCTTGGTTGTGCAACTCCGAAGTGGACATGTGTCTCTTTGTCCGTGCCCTGCGAGGGTAACTGTGGCTCTGGAATAGGGTGTAGTCCCCATCAAAGGAAAACCTATGTTGATAAGTCCTGGGAAGTGCTTTGGGGCCCACACGATTTTGCCCGTCAGTAGAAACCAGACATAGAGAGGTGGTGGAGCCAAGGGCACTGGTCTCTGTGTGGTCCCCTTCCGCAGACAGAGAAGATAACAGAGCAACCGTCTGAAGATCACTGGAGGTCCTAGTTCTACGCTTGTCCATTTCAGTCAGTGGGCCAGAGGAGGTGAACGTGGCTGGACATCTCTTTTACCAGTGTCTTTGCTCTCCAGTGGGGACTCTTTGGAAGATGGGGGCAAAGGTTCATAGTTATTTTCTCCCAGCTTGGCACAGGAGTGGGCACAGGCCATGCCTTGCTGCCCATTGGTTTGGGAATAAACATTGCTAACCCTGGCTTTGCCTCCTTCCTCCTGACCACTGTATACTTTATATCGGATCATCAGGATGATGATAAACACCAAAACAGAAGCCACAATGATCCCTCCAATTATGATAATCATTGTACCCCCCAGGAACTGGGTATGAAGTGGTCTGCACTGTCCGCTTTCTTCTTTAGTGGTGAACTGGACACATCCTACCACTCGCGTGGCCGTCAAGGAGGTCATTCCGTCATCGTAGACAGCTAGGACACAAAGGTCATACTCACGGCCTGGAGCCAAGTCATTCACAAGGAAACTCCTGTTGCTTGGGGGAATCATTCTGTAAAACAGAGAACACATAACTTTGAGGATGCAAAAAGGAATTTTAACAAAGAAAGGTAAAAAAAAAGCCCAAATATATTTAATAGAGCCCCTCCATATTTTCTTTCATATGTGTCCGCTGATATGGTCCTTTTAGCTGAGGCAAACTTTGGGCTTGTTCAAAATGCCAGCACACGGTGCAGTAATGCTATCTGCAAAGCTCTAGCATCCACTGCAGCTTTCAGATCATGTAAAAGATAATTTTTGATTGGATGATTTGGCTTAATTCACTTTGAAGTAACTCAGAATTTTCAAATCATTTAAAATATAATTTCTGATTGGGGGTTTTAGCTTAAAGCACCTTTCAGTTCATCATTGCTCCTTTGAATTGACTTACTGAATAATCTATATGCAGCTAAAAATAGGTTTCTACAAGTATTTTGTCAAAGCAGCGGTTTACTCATCGATCCAAGTCAGCGACTCAAATGTAGAAAAAAAACATTCAGGAATATGGCAGCATTCAGGGTACAACACCTAACAATCAATTCATTTTAAAGGAAACTTAGTGTTTTCCTATATTTTTTTTATTTATGTAAATGTTTTCAAGTATTCTATCTAATTTTTATCCAGGTTCAAATAAAAAGCTTAGTATTTTCTTGTATTTAATCTTTTGTAGGCAGACGGTGGGGTGTATGCTACTCCTGGATCTTAGTGCTCTGGTGCAAATACAAACTTGACTTTCAGGTTACATTCACAAGGGCCTGCTGAATGATTCAGTAGAGGGACACCCATCCCTCCTCTTCAAGTAGGAAGGCTGCTACCTAGATTTCTTAGTCTGTAGAAGCAGAGCTAGTACTTTTTTTTTTTTTTTTTTTTTTTCAAGCAGAATTCCACTCTCTTAATCAACATTGGCTATTTTTAATCCTTTTGCTGTTGGCATTAGTAAATAGGAAGGTATATTATATTTGCTTGTTCTAACCTTTTTTTTTTTTTTTTACATTTCTTCAGTTACTTCCTGGTTTCTATGCCCAGGCAAACTATGTCATACATCCCAGAAGTCTTCAGGAGGGGAGGAGTGATTTTCTCAGCTAAGCACACCTTCCTGCCTGAATGCCTGAGCTAAGAACAGATTGATTCCAGGACATAAATGCTACATGAATCATCTGTCTTTGCAGATAACTGGGACATGGGAGGATGGGGGAGTTTGCTTTTGAATATGAAAAACTACTTTTAGCGTTTTTGGTTTGTGCTGATTAGATGCAGTGTAGTTCTAATTTAGGGTGCCCACCATGAACTGTACACATTAAAGCACAGGATCACTCCGTTTCATATTTGTATTTGTAAAATATAGATTTTATACAAATAGCATTAAAGTGGTTGTAAATCCTTACATATACCCAGTGAAGTGAGTGGCCTCAAGTGATATACAGATATTAAACAAAACCTCCTACATAAGATGCACCTGTTTATCTGCCATCCTCTCTTCTCTTCATCAGTTCAAAGTCCAGATTTTATAAAGCTGCTCTGATCTTTCAGAAAATGGGGTGGAGAGCTGAAATGTATGCACTGCAAAGCTTAGTTAGATGATTGTTGTAAAGGGACAACACTCCCTTCACAAAGCACACAGGAACAGAGCTGAAACTGTAAATCATAGGCTGTGTGCTGGAGGTCCCTCCCCTGTCATCTTTTTTCTATTGCTGTATGGAAAACTTGTCAGAAGATGCTGATGGCAGAGTAATGAAGCAGCAGACAGATATTGACACTTAGGGGACGATTTACTAAAACTGGAAAGTGTAAAATCTGGTGCAACTCTGCATAGAAACCAATCAGCTTCCAGGTTTTATTGTCAAAGCCTAAAAGAACAAGATGAAGTTAGAAGCTGACTGGCTACCATGCACAGCTGTAGCAGATTCTGAGTGCACTGGTTTTAGTAAGTCTACCTTTTGCTCTTAATTGAGACAAGTACACACTATAGAGTGATATGCTTTGTTCATATTTCATGTCTGATGTTTACAACCACTTTAAACAATTTAGAATGCAACTGTTATACAAACATAGACTTAAAAAAATAAAAATAGATCAAAAACCAGAAAAGGTTCTCTTTAATATACAGTGGGGACAATAATCATTTGATCCCCTACAGATTTTGTAAATTTGCCCCCAAAGAAATTAAGGGTCTGTAATTTTTTATCATAGGTATATTTTAAATGATAGAAACAAAATATCAAACAAGAATCCAGAAAAAAACACATGATACAAGTGTTATAAATTGGGTTGCAGTTCAGTGAGTAAACTAAGTATTTGATCCCCTAACAGCCAACAATAATTCTGGCTCCCACAGACTAGCTATGTGCTCATGTGGTACACAGATTAGTCCTGTTAATTTAAGAAGGTGCTCCTAACAACAATTCAGTATGTGAATAAAAGACACCTATCCATAGAATCTCTTTCCTGGGCACCACCATGGGCAAGACCAAAGAGCTGTCAAAAGGACATCAGGGACAATATTGTTGACCTGCACAAGGCTGGAATGGGCTACAAGACCATTAGCAAGAAGCTTGGTGAGAAGGAGACAATTTGCAAATGGAAGAAATACAAAATAACCATCAATCACCCTCAGTCTGGAGCTCCATGCAAGATTTCACCTCATGGGGTAAGGATGATCATGAGAAAAGTGAGTGATTACATGGGAGGAGCTTGTGAAGCATCTCAAGGCAGTTTGGACCACAGTCACCAAACAAAATAACATAATACGCCTCCATGGATTTAAATCCTGCAGTGCCCCCTCCTCAAAAAGGCACATTTACAGGCCCATCTGAAGTATGCCAATGATCAACTAAATAATTCAGAGAAGGATTGGAAGAAAGTTCTGTGGTCAAATGAGACCAAAATTGAGCTCTTTGGCATTAACTCAACTTTCTCTGTTTGGAGGAAGAAATGCTGCCTATGGCCCTAAGAACATCATCCCTAAAGTCAATCATAGAGGTGGAAATATTGTTTTGGGGCTGTTTCTCTGCTAAAGGTACAAGCTGACCTTGCCACATTGAGGGGCCAATGGACGGGGTCATGTATTGTAAAATCTTGGACCTGAACCTTATTCCCTCAGCCAGAACACTGAAGATGGATCGTGGATGGGTCTTCCAGCATGATAATGACCCAACACATACTGCCAAGGCATCAAAGGAGTGCATTAAGGCACTGGAGTGGCCTAGCCAGTCTCCAGACCTTAATCCTACAGAACATGTATGGTGGGAGCTGAAACTTCGATTTGCCAAGAGACAGCCAAGAAACCTTAAGGATTTAGAGAAGACCTGTAAAGAAGAGTGGACCAAAATCCCTCCTGAGATGTGTGCAAACCTGGTAACCAACTACAAGAAACGTCTTACCTCTGTGCTTGCCAACAAGGCTTTCTCCCCTAAGTACTAAGTTATGCTGTGCCTGGGGATCAAATGCTTAATTTACCCACTGAACTACAACTCAATTTATAACATTTGTATAATGTTTTTCTCTGGATTTTTGGTTGATATTCTGTCTCTATCATTTAAAATATGCCGAAGATAAAAATGATACACCCTTCATTTCTTTGTAAGTGGGCAAACTTACAAAATCTGCAGGGGATCAAATAATTTTCCTCACTGTATGTGTTGTAATGAAAAAAAAATATTCATATGTTGGATAGACGAGAACCATAATTTTGAAAAGACAGGCAAGTATCGATTTGTAAATGATCCATGTCATTATTCATTTATTTATTCATATAATTAATTTATGCAGCATCAATGTATTGTACATGTTCTCTGTCCCAGAGAAGCTTACAGTCTAACATGCCCACAGGCATATACATTCTCTTAAGACTGTTTGGAAGGAAGCTGATTAACCCACCAATATGTTTAGGTATCATGGACAGAAACTGGAGCATCTGGTCCAGACCCATATAAACTCCATATAGACATTGCCCCTGGTGGGAACTCCAAATCCCAGCACTGTGAATCCATTAAGCCACCATTAAATTAATTTTAAATCTCAGTGATTTGTGTTTACTACAAGATATGTGTTGTTTATATCACCAACGTAATAAGTGGAATTGAATAGCTTTTTAAGTATCTTTCAAGGCTCATTAAGTATAAGCGATAAATATTTGTGACCAGCTGAGAAATTACGATGGGTATAGAATGGAAAGGCACAAGATAAAGGAATAAAAGAATGAGAGGTGACTGCAAACATAGGAAGGTGTACTCTGCAGCAGATGTGCGACTGGGCTACTTACTGTCTTCAAAGAAAACGGAAGGCCTCTGTGCATATTTATTTTTTTTCTACAAGCAATTTATTTTCTCTTTCTCTGTATGTTATACAAGAATGTGTTGGTATGAGAAGGGGTGCAAAAATGAAAATAAGAATCACATTTAATTAAAGTTTTACTATAGGCAAACTTTTTTTCATTTTGGATAGAGTAGGGGAATGTTATAACCCATGTCAGTTTTTATTTGTTGCCATTTTTGCCCCATTGGGGAGATTTACCTTCTCTTCCCATCCCATTGCCAAAACAGCAAGTGAGAGAAAATCCCTGCAAATTAAGGGAATTCCTTGGGAACCCCCACACCACCAGAACTAGTGTCCCCATTGGAAAATTCCCCCTCTATTAAATTTCTGGGGACAACCCAAAATTTTGGGTTTTTTCACTTTTGATGATAATGGTAAGCAGGACAAATAGGGTGAATCTCCATAACAGGGGCACAGATAGCAATTAAAACATGTCAGGTGTTCTAATCCACCTCCTCTATCTAAAACTAAAAAAGGTTTTGCCTTTAATCATTCTTGCTGACATAGGGTATCTACTGGCTAAATGATGGAGCAAGGAAGTAAATTAAGACAATACAGTAGGAAATGTAAGGAAAGAAAGCAAAATAATCAAAACAGGGACAGGTAGAATGAGAGGGAACATTATGGAACACTTACGGCTTAAAAGGGTCAGACCAAATGAAAAGGCCAGGGACAGGATGAGGTGCAAAGAGCAGACAG